TATAAATTTATATTTATACTTATTACTGATTTTTCTTGTTGAAAACTTATAAATATGAGTACTTATTTGTAATTTACTAATAACTTTGAGTTAAAAATACATAATAGCTATAGTAAAAAAGAAAAATAATTATTGTAGAGTGTCCAAAGAGTGTCGATATCGATACGTGTCGGACACGAGCACGCTATCCTAGTTAGAGTGTCTGTACTACAGAGTACACCACATATAGACATTAATAATACTATGTTCACATTCTTCCAGCTCAATGCATTAAAACTATAGACAGGCTGAAGCTGACCTGCATAAAGACGTAGATTGCTCGTATGCACACATGCATGTCTCAGAAAAAATATAAAAGACAAACAAAGGTAGAAAAAGTCACATTCATCATAACATATTTGTACTAAACACCAAAAGCACTGAATCTGACATAATAAATTTCGAGATTACACTCCATTTTCAAAAATGCAAAATAGTAAAGAAACAAAATTTGTAAGAGTCCATGCCCTTAATGATCGTAAAAAGGAATGCTATTTACCATAATTCAATATGCTTGATACTTAGCCCCAACATATCTCGAGAGATTGCAGGTTTCAAATATATAATATTTATAACTTCTGAAACCCCTTGTAGTTCAGTAAAAATTCAGGGCTTCAACAATTCGCCTTAACAAAAGATCAAAATACCTGTAAACAACCAAATCTAGCGAAAGCCAGATTATCTAGCCTCCAACAAATTGCCATCACCAGAGTCTAGCCAAACAGACAACCTTACTAACAAGTCAAATATAATATGTATGCACAACAGGAAACTGTTATACACAAACAACACATTTGATTCATTTAACACGTTCTTTATATGTTATTATTCATTTCATTTCATTTCTGGGGTTAAATGAAACTAACCACCTCTTCGCTTCTCCAATTTAAAGATTTAAGAATTTACATTATCGAGATCATCTGATCTCGGTCAGTCTCCCAACCAACATTGAATACTAGTAGATAAATAAGAATGAAAATTCAGATGTTCTTCAATAAAATAATACGATGTTGAAATTTCATGCATATCAAGCAAATAAAATCAAATGATGTTTCGCAGAATAAAATGAAGAAATTAAAACTGGTTACATAGAAAACAATTACTCCAACGTTTCAAAATGAATAGAAGTTAATGAGAAGATGTCATCTACATTGCCAACTATGCCACGGATCGACATATTAATATTCATTATTAAACTTCTTCCAGCTCATTATACAAAAACTATAAACCAACTAACCCTATCAGCATAAATACGTAGACAGCATGTATTAATAATACATATTCAAGTCTCCAAAAAATATAAAACAAAAAAGGCAGGAAATCACATTCTCCTAAATGTATGCACTAAACACCGTAAAAAGGTTAAAATTAGTGAAAATCATCCACTTTTTGCATGAAAACTTGATTTTGCCCGTTTGGTACACATTAATATAAAAATAAGAATGAAAAATATTGTCGTTATTGATCCCACACAAGATATAGATATTCAAATTTGGTGGCTTGATATTATGGATAACGGTCATTTTTTTCATTTTAATGAAGAAAAAATGGGAAACAAATGGGGGCAAGTAAGTCCTTGTCAAAAAATCAAATCTTTCAATAAATGGCTTCCAAATTGCAGTCAAATCTCCAAATTTGGTTTTTTTTTTTTTTTTTTTTTTTTTTTTTTTTTTGTGATACCCAGGTGTCCTAACTTCCCCAAACTAAATTCTGGACCTCAAGCAATCAAATAAAATACTAAAACACCCTAATTAAATTGAATTAAAAACCTTAGCAAAATTAGAGAATAATTTAGACCCGGATCAGAAAATATAAAAAGAAGCCTCTGCCAAAATTATTCAAAAAATAAAAAAGATGGGTCCACATAGCAAGTACCAAATTCCCTGAACGCACGATACGAATTCATTATCAAAATCCAAATTAATTATATATGTGTGTATGTATATACACACAAATTAATTGGCAAAACTTGTGTTCTTTTTCTCTTCTGGGTCACCATTTTTGGGCATGAAAGGAGTTCTAGCAGGTTACACGCACAAACGACATTGTTGACATATAACCCAATGTTACATATGTGTATGTGTATCTATATCTATATAAATAAAACAATTGTATGACTAAGATAAATCATAAATTTACAGAAATGAATTGGAGTTTGTGTTACCTTAGAACTGAAGATCATTAATTCTTGCAGTGAAGGTTTTGATATGGCGTGTGTTAATTTTGGATTTTTTTGACTAAAAATTTTTTCGTGCTCGGGCAGATATATTAAAGAGGTGGGTGGGCACGTACCAGGTCCAAAACACAAAAATGAAAGGAGAAATTGAATTATATAGGAGGTGGAGTGGGTGGGGTGGGGTGGGATGGCGGGGTAGGTGAAGCACGATGAAAGCGGCAGAAAGGGAAAATAAAAAACTAGCAAAAGACTAACGGGCAGGTCAGAGGACTGGTTTTTTTGTAAGGTGTGGCAGTGGCAGGGGTTGTATTTGGGATTTTCAAGGGAAGTTTTGACCAAGTGCAAATTGTGAATCTTTAAGCAATATGTAGAGTCCATAGAAACCCACCCTTGAAGTGAAGAATGATGATAATCACGATCTACGTTTGCGACGAAGAAAGGACGATAATCATAAAGATAATTATGGATGCGTATTGTACTGTGATTTATTTTATATCGTATGGACGATCCACACTTGAAGTGGAACAAGGACGATAATCACAATGTTCACTCTCGCTTGAACTGATAATAAAGATGATATTCACGATACAATTTATTATATATTGGTATGTATAATTCATGCTTGAAGTGAAACAAGGACAATAATTACGATGACGATTGTGGACATGTTCTATTGTACTTTATTTTTTATCATATTTATGACCCACACTTGAACTGAAATAAGGACGATAATCATGATGACGATTATAGACACGTGTTGTATTACAATGTATCGTGTGTATTATCTAAGCTTGAGGTCAAATAAGAGCAATAACCATATTGACGGTCGTGAATGTGTGTCCTACTACAATTTAATGATTTATTGTATATGGTATGTATAACACACACTTGAGAGGTGAAATAAGGACGTTAACGATGATGATGATCGTGAACACATTGCAATTTATTTTATACATCCATACGATCTATGCTTAAGGTGAAATAAGAAAGATAATCACAATGACAATGATTACATATATTGCATTGCACTTTATTTTGTATGGTATGTATAAACACACATTTGAGGTAAAATAATAATAATGATGGAATCGTGGAAGTGAGTCATACTGTACTGTATTTTGTGTTTGTATTTGTACCCGTTTTCCGCATAGAAGTTAGACCTAATTGATTGGATATTATGAAGGAGTCCCACAAGTATTGGAAAACGTATTTTAATGTAATTATATGACTTATGTTTGTCATATGTTTGTATTATATAATTGCTTAAAATTAATCATAAAATGTAGTGAGATGCACACAAACTACAAAATAAAGATCGTAAAAATATTTTGGGCAGCAATGGTGAGGCCTACGGTTGGTAGAGCATTACTAGCATATGGTCCCATATATTTGCAGCTCGCAAATTGAAAGAATTTTTTACTCCAAGATTTATGAATCTATTGAATGAGTTGGGTCTTTTTTAAAAAGTTATGTGCATAGCTAGAGTGGCTTCTCGTACGGAAAGATTTCCCTTCCTAAGACTCAGATGGCTTACATACCAGGCTCAACATTCTTGGAAAACAATTTAATCAAGGGTCCAGAGCTACCAACAACAATTTGTTGTTGATGGACTATTGAGATGGGCAACAAGCGAGTCAGTTTCAATGTGTACAATTAATGAACAACGATAAGAATGGTCATTTATTGAAAATTTGTCAATAGTATTTATGCATTTAATATATGAAAAAAAAAATTAATTATACTCACATTAAAAGTAGAATTTAAGCTAGTATGACGAATCAATTTTCTTAGTTCAACCTTCAACTCGTTAACACGTCCACTCTATCCTTCTCGATTAGTTAAAACAATGTTCAACTAACCCCTGTTTGATGGCCATTATTTGACCAAAATAATTTTATGAATAGTAAGTTTTAGGAGAATGTATAGTTAAAAAGTAAGAAAAATTTTAAATTTACGAGTAAAATATGTTATTGTATAAATATGCGATTGAAAATTATTATGTTTCAAATAATCTTTGTCAAACAGGGGCATAAATGTAGAAAATCAAAATGAAAAAATATTTACTACTACTACTGTGCTTATTTCTTTCTTCTTGACACATTTAGGAAAAATAAATTGTCAGTGAGTTGTAAACTTATTATATTGCAAGTTCCTAGCAAGTCACCATCAATCTTTTTATTAGCATTGCACAACAAAAACCATTCAAAATCTTTATTATAGAAAACTTGTCACTCTGTCATTTGAAAAAGAGGAAATTGCACCTGATGTCCTTTTTTACTTTTTTTAACTACAAAAATCTCACATTTTAATAATCTTTTTTTTTTTTTGTCCTTCTAAAACCTTAAAATCCATTGCATGCCCCTCATTAAATATGATTTTATTAGTTAAAAAAGTTGTACAAAAATAAAAAAAAAATAACACCAAATCCCCACACCCACCACATCTCCACTTACTGAACCTACAACATACCCCAATTGTTGGAAATTTTCCCTTCTTCTTCCCTGCATCCCCCTCCTCCATTTCTTAAAAATATACCATAAACCACAATACTCCCACGTTGATAAAACACCACACCCCATAGTAACCGCTCTTCATCTTCATAATTGGCAACCCACATCCACTAGGTGTCATTTACACTTCTTCATATGATGGATAATATTCTATTCCGTGGTATAAATCGAAATCAACGGAGGGTAAGAAATTTGTACCTCAAAGTAACTCTGACAAAAAATTGGCTCAATTTTCTCCTCATTTCGAACGCGAGGTATGTTCATCTCCCATCATTCGATTAACTTAGGTTTAAGGTTTTTGGATTTTTTAATATTATTAGAAAATAATGGATCTTTTAAATGTAGATTTTTTGGAAAGTTGTATTTTTGCCTCTAATATGTGGTGAACCTGCAAAATTGAAATTTGTTCGTGTTAATCAACTTGCGGATGAATTTTGAAGTCCCTACACTAGGAGTGATATGAAGAAAGGGAAGAATAGTACGCAATAAGACTTCATCAACTTGAACAACTATGTGTTGCTTTTAGACTTATAATTTGTCGTATTATTTTGTAGTTATATTTTGAAGTGTACGTCGAACAACTTATTTTTATGTTTGTTTAATTCATATTCATGGGTGAAAAGATATTTTTATTAGGTAGCAGATCGAATTGTCAAGATATCATTTGTAAGAAATCATTGGTTAGATGATCAATGATACTTCCACTAATTCCATACTCAAATGTGATATCTATTAACAAAAATGAATTATTGGAACATGTCGATAAAAATGTTATACGAAATGAATGTACGATTAATGAAATTAACATAAAAAGTTGATAAATGGAACACGGTAATTGCAAAGAACTATGTACTATAATACATTAAAACAGATTTGACTTTGTCTTTCATCATGAGCCTACAACTTCTAACATATTTCTACACTTCATCTAGAAGATCAATTTGCATACAAATTTTAGAGTATCACCATATCCTTTCTTGAACACCAATTTGCTCAGCATCATATGTAGACGATGATGATGTGGATCAACCTTTACTCTATGGATCCTTTCACCGGTTCGTTTCTCGGAATTGAACGAGGTTTCCTTCTCATCCTCTCCATTATTGAACGAGGAAGTTGATAACGTGTTCATCTACATGCCCCCATACAAAGATGATTTAGGTAATGATGAGTCATTCTAAATGTCCCATCATTTGATATTATTGTCATTACTTTCGAAGATCAGATGGAAGATAATGGTAATAACATGTCAAATATGGATGATGCTTGATGTAGACGAAGGATGTTCAACGTAACTCGATATGTTCAATTTATGTTATGTTTATAAATTAGGTTGTTTGTGTGAATCTGAAAATTGTGTGTCCATCTAACTTTGTATTATTTTTGGAAGACTATAGAATTTCAAATTGTCACTCACACCTAAAATTAAGCAAACAAAATGTTAAGCATTTTGCACAAATTTAATATATCGAACTTTAAATTTATATACGGGGTATCTATAAGTAAATTCTACCAAACAATGGCAAACTAGTTAGAGGAAAAGTTAAAATGTCCATCTTGACAATTAAGAAATGTCGAGACTGACATTTAAACTATCAATGTTGACAGTTATCATCTGATGAACCACATTTAAGGTGTATGATAAAAAAAATTGATAAAGCATTAAGTATGTTCATCAATACTCAGCAACCAAATGATGAAACCTTAACAAAGAATTTATACAATGCTATATTAAATAGGAAATATTCCAAAATTTTATGTGCTTTGAAGTAACTATGTTTTGTCAAAATGGTTTATAAAACAAAATGAATGAATGAAGAATAATTTGCAAAGTCATCTGATCATATTGTATTTAAGATTTCAAAATAGTAAATTATAATATAAAAATATTCAACAAAGTGTAAATGCTAACCCTAAAATGGAATATGAATCAACAATAATTTCAGGCTTGATATTTCAATGGTGAATGCGTAATAGACTTATGTTTTTTGAGAGAAAATATCACTTAAATCTTCTGAAAAAATGTTATGAAATAAAATTTTTTGTTAACAATTGTAGTATCCATTGTAAAATTACTAGATTCATGAGTGTCTTCTTTAACAAGCCAAAACATCAAATCCTAACATTAATTGAGCATTAAATGCATACAAAAATGTAATTACAAGGCTAAATATGACTTTTTCACCTAAAAAAAATATTATTTTTTAGCATCTTTTCAAAAAGTGAATTTTTTTGCCCATTTTCAATGTAGGGACATCTGTACAAAATCCCCTTTGAAAAAATCAACTTCATGAAGCTAAAAAATCAAGCACATAATATAAACAGTAAAATTATTTACTTAAAAAATAAAACCAGTTCGCTATAGTGTCGAGAATTGCATTCAAAATATATACTAAATATTTTTATTTCTGAAAACATTTTTAACAGAGTTTCAAAAATAGAGTGCACTAATTCATTTTTATTTTTTTTTTTAGCTACCGAAAAATATAAAATTTGATTCCAAATTTCAATAGGAACGAGAACTCTATACCTCATTTCCTTCTCTTCCCTTTTAATTTCACAAAGGGAATTGAAAATGAAATATTTATATTATAATTTATTATTATATTTTTAAATATTTTATTTTATTTTTGTCAAAGTTATAAATAATTTGACTTTACATTTGTAGGCTCAAAGCTATTAAAATCTTTTGATTTAATGAAATCATTACAAATTCAAAAGTTATAGAGAGAATTTTCATGGAAATATTAAAATCTATGTTAGGATACTTAGATTTTAATAAAATCCAATAAAATTCAATGAAGGATCTTATATAAAATTTAAATATTCATTAAGATCTGAATTAAAAGCACTCGTAAAATCTAACTTGAGAACCTTTCCTTAACTTACACCTTGATTATATGAAAAACAATTGTAACTTGATGAAACTTAAAATTCAACCGAAACTCAAAATTTTCAATAAAGTATGTTCCATTTGCAATGGTAGAATGTGTTCATGAGTCACAATGGGAGGAATTCAATTTTCTTGAATACTAAACTTCCAATAGGTTCATAAAAATTCCAACAAATTAAAAGTTTCTTCTTGTTGTAAATAATGTGTTTATTAGTGAATGACAATTATGTACTGCAATTCTAATTATTATTACCATTATATCTCTTGTAGCCCTAATTTTCCCTATAAAAATCATGATTTCAGATCTTAATAAAAACACACAAATCTATTGATTTCTTTATTCTTTTCTCTATATTATAACACTTTATCAGCATGATTTCTCTTCAAAATGTAGTAATACTTTTTATTCATGCATAGATTTAGTATGCAATCTTTATAAAATCATTAATCAGGTTAATATGATATCAAGTTAATCAAATATAATTGAAGAGTCCGAAAGAGTTATTATATCAAATATACAAAATTATATATTGACGATACACTTTATTTTAGCAAATTTTAAAAAAGTTGTTTAGTTTTAAAGATATCCACTGCAATAGATATCATATTTAGAAGATATAAGAAAATAATATAGAGTGTCTTTACATAACTTTTATATCTAGCCAGAAACTAATAAAAAGAAAACTTGTGACACTCCCGTTTAACATATACTGTACATTCATAAAAATGAATGAACCAAACATTAGAGCAAATTCGAAGTTCATTGTCCCTATAGTGACTCTTTACACTATAGAAGAATTGTATTATTATTTCGATATCAACAGTACAAAAGCTCGTAGAATTTGCACAGCCAGCACAATTGTGATAAAAATATTGATATCTCAACATTTTATGGTCTGATCGTCATATCTTCTTTCTTTGATTGCGCAAGATCAGTGTCCGGGTTTCCACCAGTCGAAGCCCCTACTGAGACCACTTCCAAGTAAGAGCGTAAAATTTGTATAGGACGTTCACAACTTATTGTTCTTCAAATCCAACGATTTCTATGAAAATCCAACTAGTCATTTGTGAGAAATAGATACGTGAACATTAGCAAGTTTTTAAGTACTATAAAAATTTTCAAATTTACAAATTTGATAAATATGAGATTTGTCAACAATTTAAGGTTTTCTAAAGCTTTCAAATTCAAGTAATTCTATTATTTAAAAGTTTTTCTTTATATATTATGTTTGTGAAATTCTAAACCAGTTAAATATTTTGATTTAACTAGTGCTCCTAAATAAGTATAATTATAAATTATATTTGTATTAAATAAATATGATGTTAATGCTTTAGAAGAAACACAACTCACTTTATATAAATGATCCAGAAAGAATATTATATGTTTCTAAAGAGCATGACATTAAAATTTCGATATTGCAGAAGAATATTGATATCAATTTCAGAAGAAGCAAAAAATATATATACTAGTATTCTCGAAAAGTGCAATCAATTTATTCTATTGTACTGTTTTTATAGTGTTAAATTATTATAATTTCATTTTATTTAATTATGTTTTCAATTTCAAACTGGTTAAGGAGATCTAGAAATAAATATGAAAATATTTCAAATATTTTTCAAAGTGAAGAAGAATTAGATCAAGCATCTGCATCTACATCAAATAATTTCAGTAGTCATGAACTTCAAATTGCTGTAATTGAACAAAGATTGCATAAATGGACTATTCCAAAAATAGATAAAAACCCTATTTTTGAAATAAAAAGTTTGATTTTACTCAAAATTATGTTATTAAAACTTTTGAACAATCTCTACCAATTAAGAGTCAAAATGCATTAATCAATTTATTTTCAAAAGAATCTATTAAATCTCACAGAAAGAATTTTAAATATCTTCATGTTAGATTAATTCAAACTGCTGTTAAATCATTATTTCAACTTGGTTTAAATATTCCTATTATCTTAACTCTTAGAGATAAGAGACTTCTTGAATTTGAAAATTCATTATTATCTGTTTTAGAATTAAATCTAGAAAGTGGTCTCGTATATTCAAATTGTTATCCCAATTTTTCTATCAATCTAAATGATGGAACTCTTCTTAATGCTCTAAATCTTCATATTCAAACAAAAAATCTTGATTTTGATGATCGTTCAAATGCTTTTGCTGTAATATATAGAATATTACAAACTCATGAATACTCAGCTCAATATTGATGCT